GTTAAATTAAATTATCAACTTTAACAACCAACAAAATTAACGCCGTTACTTCCTAATCATTTGTTGCTGTCACTTTATTAACGATCCTGCAGACATCAGTTAACCATGACCACTGACACAACCATAACTCTCTCCACCAGAAAATCTGTCGCTTGAAAAGACTCAGTTGCAACCATAACAGCAATCCCAGAATAGAATTATACAGTCTCGTTTTGTTTTTTGTTTTTCTATTTCATAATCCAATTCATGCATGCTTATTCAAAAACAAACGTGCCTTTTGTTTTTCTGCTATAGTTCAAATTTTTTAAAAAAAAAGGCCTGATTGCTAATATATAAAAGGGTTATGATATATACACTTCCTTTTTTTTTTTTATAAGTACACTCCTTTTTTAAAAAAAAAATTAATAAATTTTTTAAAATATCCTTAATTTAATTTTTTTAATTTTTTAATTTTACACTCCTAACATTGAATTTAACACTTTTTTTTACATATCACTTTCCCTTATTTTCACATGCACCTCCTTAATTTTTCTTCACCCCCACCTATTTTGATAGATAATTTTAATTCTTTTAGTTTTATATTATTTTTTTATCTTCCTCTTTCAGTTTTCTCACTGATTTCATTATCTGCATAGTACTTTAGAATAGTGAAAATGTCTTTTTCATAAACTAAATTTAATGTTAAAGTTTTTAGAAGGGTGAAAGAAAAGGAAGTGTTGGAAGAAAAAATGTGCATCTAGTTTAATAGAAACTGTCAAGAAAACTATACATACCTATAATGTTGTCACCTACCAAATTTATGATTTGAATACATATGAAAAAGTGAAAAAGGCAAGAAAATTAGAGAGTAATATATAAAAAAATGAGAGAACTAAAACTACCCATTGAAATATGTAAGGAATTAGAGAAAGACAAGATAGTATATGTGAAAATTAGAAAAGAGAAGGAAAAAGGTATGTAAAAAGAAAAATAGTAGATTAAATATTAGAGATGTAAAATTAAAAATTAAAAAAATTTATGAATATTTTAGAATTTAAAAAAAATAAAAAAAGGTGTACTTATATAAAAAAAAAAAGGTGTATTAAAAAAAAAGGTGTACTTAAAAAAAAAAGGTGTATTAGCCTATTAGCCTATATAAAATGAAGGCAAATGATAAACACACCTCCACTCTCGTATAAACACACCCCCTTTTTAAAAAAATATATAAAATATCTAAATTACCCTTTTAAAAAAATAAAATTCCTAAATTTACACCTCCCTTCCCCGCACCCCCATTCCCCGCACCAGAACGGGCCGTTCTGCAAGAAGAACAACCCGTTCTGATTGCAGAACGCCCCGTTCTGCAAGCAGTACAGGCCGTTCTGCTTGCAGTACGGGCCGTACTAAAAGCAGAACAGGTCGTTCTGCTTGCAGAACGGGTTGTTCTGGGGCCGTTCTATTGCAGTACAGGCCACCGCGTCACTTTTAAAATGGCTACCTTATGACTGATTTTAAAACTCCGATTTTAAAGTCATTTTTGTACTAGTGTGTCTTTCCATAAAACAAGTAAGAGTCTTTCTCTTACAAGACCACCTGCTGACATTGCGCACCCCTCTTCTTTCTCTTTCTGGCACTCTCCTCTTCTTCTTTTTTTTCCCGCACCTCGCACGCCCCTCTTCTTTCTCTTTCTGACACTCCTCTTCTTCTTCTTCTTACTGTTACGGAAAGTTCTTTCCGGAATTATATAAAAATGTTCCGGAAAATACTTTCCATAATATTAAATTTTTATTCCGGAAAGTATTTTCTGAAAATGTTTTGTTACATAATTCCGGAAAGTACTTTCCATAATATTAAAGTTACTATTACGGAAAGTTCTTTCCGGAATTATATGAACAATAATTTTACTATTCCGGAAAGTACTTTCCAGAATGCTAATGACTGTAAAAGTACTTTCCGGAATGCTAATGACTGTAAAAGAACCTTTCTTATGCTGGTTATGGTGGGACTAGTCCTTTTTTTTATTCAGAATGATTGTAAAAGTATATTGCTTAATGACATTGAGCGGAAAGAGACTTTGGGAAGAAGAGGGGTGTGGAGTGTGGGGTGCGGGGAAAGGGGGTGCGGGGAAAGGAGGTGTAAATTTAGGAATTTCATTTTTTTTAAAAGGATAATTTAGACATTTTATATATTTTTTTTAAAAAAAGAGGTGTGTTTATACGAGAGTGAAGGTGTGTTTATCATCTGCCTAAAATGAAACAGTTGTCCAATTTAAACATGCTTAGCCCATGTGGAGCAAAAAAAATGCAACGGCCCATAAAACAAAAGCATATTAATATAGAAAAAAATTGCATAAATAAAAAGGAAAAAAGACAAAAGGGTCCACACGAAAAGAAAAGGAATCTGATATCTTCATTTTTATCTCTGCTTGCTCTCTGATTTGGATTTTCTTTCTTTTTTGCTTGGGATAGAGAAAATGATTTGTTAACGTGGTATGTGATTGACGAACCGTCAGTGCTTAACTGCTTATTGATGGAAGTTGGTTGAATAAGAGGAATTTTTGGGTTCTAGTCAGATATCACCAAACTTCACTTTGATGAATCATTGTTCTCTTATTGCATTCATTGCCTAGTCAACCCATATGTCTACTCAAACTTAATCCCTTAGAGCAAGAGCCTAGGTGCATATATTCAATATCAATTCCTTAAATATCCAATATATGTACCTGCATTACGGGTTAGGGTTTAAGACTACTAATGGGCCAAGCTTCATTCCTAGATACATTTCTCACTAGATATTTTGTTTCAGAGCTAGTTTCAAAGACTATTTTCCAATACCCAATGGACTCTATGTCAAGCAAAGGAGAATCAATCTAAAGCAAGTATTTATAATAGAAACATAACACAATAATGAATGAAACGAACATATATCATTGATAAGGTGAAGATTACACAAGAGTTAAGTTGATTACATCTAACCCCACAAAATAATGGGTAGAACCGCTCAAAACAATGAGGGTAAAACAAAAATAGAGATGGAAGAACCAAAGGAAAAACCCACACACAGCACGGTCCCAAGCACCGAAAATCCCTTCCACAGCTCCTAGAAGTCGTCCTATGTGTGAATGAGGAAGGAAACCTCGAAGATTTGATCGAATACGAGCTGGGTGAGTCATGATAGGGTTTACACGCATTATACTTCGCACCCGACGCAGAGTCTTCCAGAAAAGAAATTACTCTCCGTCTCAAGTCACGCTCGGCGCGGACACTCTTGCGCTCGGCGCGAAGTCTTCCAGAGAGTTTAAATGCTCTCTGTCTCGAGGCACGCCTGACACAAAGACTCTTGCGCCTGGCGCAGTGCTGAGTGCAGAGTGTGTTGCTCTCTGTCTTGAGCAAGCCTGGCGCGGGTAATCTTGCGCCCGGCGTGATATTACAATCCAATGGGTCTTCAACCTCAACTCAATACCTGCACAAAAAATAAGGTGTATCAGGGTATTGTCAAATGATTTTTGGGTTAGCTATATCTGCACAAATTTGAATCAAAAGAGAACAATTATATTGCAAGAGTGCATGGGGTGAGTGGAATTGTTCAATAATTCCTATCCAAAAACAAGTATAAATGAGACTTAACAACTCCCCCAAACTTAGAACCTTGCTTGCCCTAAAGCAACAGGTAATTGATCTTACAGACACCAAGCAATGCATGTAGGTCAAATTCATAAATTCTAGCCTACTTGAATTTTCTTTTCAAAAACACGAACCTTGGATGAACTTTCAATCACAATTATTGCAATGAAACATGACAAGGTGCAAACAAAAGTTTCAAAAGAGATCAAAGAACTGAGGAGAGTTGATGATCATCTATGAATGCATCCTTACTAGGAAGGTGTTTCTTTTTGTGCACACTAGTGTATCAAGGTGAGTGTTTCTCTCAAATCTACTACCCAAGCCACACAATTCAACTTTGCTCTCCATTTTCAAATTGAACCAATATTCAAATAGATGCAGGCACTCATCACAAGGTCTTTATTAGGGCAATTTGGGTCAAGCAATAACAATCTTATGGTTTTTCAGGGATTAAAAGTACTATGGCTTAAGAGAGCAATTAAGATTTTTACAATGATATCCCTCTCCATAACCCAATACAACATTTTAGAACATGCCCTTAACCGGAACCAAGTCACTAGCCTTTACGCAATGCATATTCACATTTTTGCATCGTTATGTTTTTGTTTTGCTTTGTTCTCTTCTCTCTTTTTTTTTTTGAATGAAATAAATGGCCATACACTTTCCTTTTCACAGAAGCCTTCATTCTTCAACTCTCCCAAACTTGTTTCATGTTATCAATTACTCTCTTAACCAAAAGCAAGGGTTGTGGTTAATTTTTCACAGTTTGGAATAAGTAAAGATATGATGTTTATGCTTACGAAGTTATGGGTCAAGTGAGATGTATGGCTTTTTGGCTCAGACGGTTAGCAAAACAGGCCGGACAGCGGCAGCGGTGGCTACTGTTTGTAGCGGAAACGGAGCTCCCAAGATCGGGAGCTCTGATACCAACTTGAAAAGGAGAATAATTTTATTATTATTATTCATACATATTACATTTTCCTTATACCTATTTGTAACAATCTAATCTTCTAAAATAAGGAAATAAGGAAAAATATTCTGAAAAATATCCTAGAAGATTCTATAGATATTTTCTCTAATTAGGAAGATTTTTCCTCTAATTACAACAATATCTATTTATTCCATCAGAATTTTTTTTCAATAAAGTGGAAAAGGAAGAATACCTTGCTTACTAGAGTCTATATCATACAAATAATTTAAATGCTATAATCTGAATTAAAATTTATAACTTTTTGCAAGTTTGTTTCAATTTTTGAGATGTAAGATACAGTGATACAATTTATCCACCTCCAACTATAAATGTTATGAAGTCATTTGTGAATCTCATTAGTAAAAAAAGCAGTTGTAAGCAAGAAAAATAATGCATGAAAATTCAAGATTTGAGAATTGAACTAATTCAATTTAAATGAACAAACTACCTAAAGCAGAGCAAGAAACTCCATGTGTCTTACTTTTGTTTCAATTTGCTCAAGAAGAATGTAGCAAATGGTATATCAACCAGAATCCCTTCAAACATGGCCTGCAAATGCAAGCAGTATAAGAATACAAAGCAAAGGCCCACTTTATTAGAAGACAAATTAAAAAGGGAATGGGGAAGGAGAGGGAATACCTTTGCAAGAAGAGTGCCAAGGAAGTGGAAAAATTGGAAATGTTGTTCATGTATCATTCCAGATCCAGGATTAGGATAAAGCAGGTGATCTGCTGTCTCCTAGATGCATTGACATTCAATATGGCGAGAATCAGCAAATCGCAAGGAACAAATTTAAGGATAACAAGGGAAGCATTATAAAAGGAAGTAACTTCCGATCACTCCACCAATCCAATTGCATCCATATTCACACTCACTAATACTTAAATAACCTTCATTCTTGAATGTGGTAAAATTATATATTGTTGAAAATAACCTTCATGTGAAATATAAACAACAGCAAAATATTACTAAGACCTTAAATAATCCATACTGCACATCAAAGGCAGCACGTGTGATGTTCTCCATGAAATCTTTGAATATTCCACCTCCATCAATTCCAGGCTCTTCAACTCCAAATTCATTGACAAAAGTCACACGAATCTGCAATGCAGCAAAAGGTAATCACTCTCATGTAAAAGAACTTACTAGTTCCCTTAAAGACCAGAAAATGGGGAATGAATAATAAATATGGAAATTTTCCCTAGAAAAGGATTTTACCAATCCCTGAAGGTTTAATTCTGACAACTGGCTCATTTGATCATAAGCGTCTTCCAAAATACGTTCTCGTTTTATTCTGAACTGGTTTCTAGTAAATACAGCCTCAGATCCATGCCTTTGCCTAACAGCAGCTAGTTGAGACTGATGAAACAATAAATAAAATAGTCACTGTAGACATATTAATGGACCACTGAAATATGATGTGCAGAAAGTCCAAAACCTTACTTTCAGTTCCAGCTATCTATTGTAAATACATAATACAAAGATATTTAGCAAAAAAATCAAAGTCAAAAAAGATAGATTCTTACAGATAATATTTTAACCCTGCTTGTAAATGGTATCAAGAATGGGGCCTGTTTCAAAATTTCATTTGCTCGTGCATTTTCTATTACAGCCTGATTAAAAAGGATTATACAAATAGCTAATCAAGTTTCCATCCATATAACTTTAAAAACAAATGAAAGCAATAATACCTGAGAGATAAATAGGTCATTCACTCCATCGGCATGGAAGTTACTAGGGGATGTAAACTGCCGCCTATTGTTCCAATCTTGCAGCTATGGGCAGAAATTTAGAATGCAAGTTAGAGATATAGCAAAGACAATTCATATCATTTAGCTACTGGTGGAAATCATATGCATGTGGCATGCCACTTCAAAGAACAGATAAGAAGGATTTTCAACACACAGTAGAACAGAAATGGCTTTTTTTTTTGGTATAATGGCTGCCTTGTTTAGTTTAAGAAAACATTGTATTTCCATCTCTTATTTTCATAAAAATGTCACCTTGTTTTTGCTTTATTTCTGACTTCCAAAGATTTTATTTAAGAAATAGGGAAAACAGAAAGAAAATAAGGGTGTTTGGTTTCAGAAAACATTTTCTATTTTCCTTTTCAGAAAATAATTTTCATTTTCTAATTTTAAAATTTAGACAACATGTTTGGTTTGACTATTTTCAATAAAAGTTCATAAAATGTTTTTGGTATAAAATTTACAATCAAAATTACTCTCTATATATGAATTAGAATAATATTTTATTTTGTGAATATTTCATTCTTTCTATTCTATCTTATATTTATTCTCATTTGAATACTCTCATTTCATAATAGGTGAATTTTACTCTAAAAACGTGTAAATGTCCCTTATATTTTTTGTATCAAATGAACAATTTATTATTGTTAAGTCTCATTTATACTTATTTTTTGATAGGAATTATTGAACAATTCCACTCACCCCATGCACTCTTGTTTTTGTCTCAAATGAACAAAAACTTGTTGAGAATTTCGTTGAAATTAACTTTTGATTTTGTTATAAATCATTTTAATTCTAAGAACGGACTCAAACACGGCAAGTGTACCGGTCGTACGAGTAGTAAATTTAAATCGTATCCACAGGGACTAGTTAGGTAAAATAAGCATTTAATGACTATTCGTGACTAAAGAACAATTCCAATTTTTCTTATAGGTTGTCATGCAATTAAAACAAAGATTAAGATTCATTGGAATTTTAAATCTATAAAACTATTTGTGTGTGAATGGAAGGGATAGAAATGATATTGTGAATTTGTGAAATTGTGGGGTCAGATATCACCAAACTTCACTTTGATGAATCATTGTTCTCTTATTGCATTCATTGCCTAGTCAACCCATATGTCTACTCAAACTTAATCCCTTAGAGCAAGAGCCTAGGTGCATATATTCAATATCAATTCCTTAAATATCCAATATATGTACCTGCATTACGGGTTAGGGTTTAAGACTCTTATTTCTTTAGATTTTTTTACTCTAGAATTTTTCGAACCCCTTGATTGTTCAATCTCGTCCTCTCCTCTATTAGGAGGTGGCGCGGAGAAGGTCAGCGAGAACGCTCATGGCTCGAACCTGCATCTCAAGCGCGGATATGTAATCATTGGCTTCTTCCAAAATATCCGCCAGAAGCTTTTTGCGGCAACCGGGAACTAACAGTTTCAGGAGCCTCACTTTTCTCTGCACGCGCGCGCTCTTCCCCGTCAGCCGGTAAACGGTGAAGCGCGGCTTCTTCGCGCGCAGCCTAGGTTGACTCTGGCCAAGTCTTGGCGTCATCTCGGAGGAGCCTTCTTCCAAATATTGGAGTTAGGCATGGCAACGGGGCGGGGCGGGGGCGGGTTTTACGAACTTAATCCCTTAGAGCAAGAGCCTAGGTGCATATATTCAATATCAATTCCTTAAATATCCAATATATGTACCTGCATTACGGGTTAGGGTTTAAGACTACTAATGGGCCAAGCTTCATTCCTAGATACATTTCTCACTAGATATTTTGTTTCAGAGCTAGTTTCAAAGACTATTTTCCAATACCCAATGGACTCTATGTCAAGCAAAGGAGAATCAATCTAAAGCAAGTATTTATAATAGAAACATAACACAATAATGAATGAAACGAACATATATCATTGATAAGGTGAAGATTACACAAGAGTTAAGTTGATTACATCTAACCCCACAAAATAATGGGTAGAACCGCTCAAAACAATGAGGGTAAAACAAAAATAGAGATGGAAGAACCAAAGGAAAAACCCACACACAGCACGGTCCCAAGCACCGAAAATCCCTTCCACAGCTCCTAGAAGTCGTCCTATGTGTGAATGAGGAAGGAAACCTCGAAGATTTGATCGAATACGAGCTGGGTGAGTCATGATAGGGTTTACACGCATTATACTTCGCACCCGACGCAGAGTCTTCCAGAAAAGAAATTACTCTCCGTCTCAAGTCACGCTCGGCGCGGACACTCTTGCGCTCGGCGCGAAGTCTTCCAGAGAGTTTAAATGCTCTCTGTCTCGAGGCACGCCTGACACAAAGACTCTTGCGCCTGGCGCAGTGCTGAGTGCAGAGTGTGTTGCTCTCTGTCTTGAGCAAGCCTGGCGCGGGTAATCTTGCGCCCGGCGTGATATTACAATCCAATGGGTCTTCAACCTCAACTCAATACCTGCACAAAAAATAAGGTGTATCAGGGTATTGTCAAATGATTTTTGGGTTAGCTATATCTGCACAAATTTGAATCAAAAGAGAACAATTATATTGCAAGAGTGCATGGGGTGAGTGGAATTGTTCAATAATTCCTATCCAAAAACAAGTATAAATGAGACTTAACAACTCCCCCAAACTTAGAACCTTGCTTGCCCTAAAGCAACAGGTAATTGATCTTACAGACACCAAGCAATGCATGTAGGTCAAATTCATAAATTCTAGCCTACTTGAATTTTCTTTTCAAAAACACGAACCTTGGATGAACTTTCAATCACAATTATTGCAATGAAACATGACAAGGTGCAAACAAAAGTTTCAAAAGAGATCAAAGAACTGAGGAGAGTTGTATTTTCATAAAAATGTCACCTTGTTTTTGCTTTATTTCTGACTTCCAAAGATTTTATTTAAGAAATAGGGAAAACAGAAAGAAAATAAGGGTGTTTGGTTTCAGAAAACATTTTCTATTTTCCTTTTCAGAAAATAATTTTCATTTTCTAATTTTAAAATTTAGACAACATGTTTGGTTTGACTATTTTCAATAAAAGTTCATAAAATGTTTTTGGTATAAAATTTACAATCAAAATTACTCTCTATATATGAATTAGAATAATATTTTATTTTGTGAATATTTCATTCTTTCTATTCTATCTTATATTTATTCTCATTTGAATACTCTCATTTCATAATAGGTGAATTTTACTCTAAAAACGTGTAAATGTCCCTTATATTTTTTGTATCAAATGAACAATTTATTATTGTTAAGTCTCATTTATACTTATTTTTTGATAGGAATTATTGAACAATTCCACTCACCCCATGCACTCTTGTTTTTGTCTCAAATGAACAAAAACTTGTTGAGAATTTCGTTGAAATTAACTTTTGATTTTGTTATAAATCATTTTAATTCTAAGAACGGACTCAAACACGGCAAGTGTACCGGTCGTACGAGTAGTAAATTTAAATCGTATCCACAGGGACTAGTTAGGTAAAATAAGCATTTAATGACTATTCGTGACTAAAGAACAATTCCAATTTTTCTTATAGGTTGTCATGCAATTAAAACAAAGATTAAGATTCATTGGAATTTTAAATCTATAAAACTATTTGTGTGTGAATGGAAGGGATAGAAATGATATTGTGAATTTGTGAAATTGTGGGGTCAGATATCACCAAACTTCACTTTGATGAATCATTGTTCTCTTATTGCATTCATTGCCTAGTCAACCCATATGTCTACTCAAACTTAATCCCTTAGAGCAAGAGCCTAGGTGCATATATTCAATATCAATTCCTTAAATATCCAATATATGTACCTGCATTACGGGTTAGGGTTTAAGACTACTAATGGGCCAAGCTTCATTCCTAGATACATTTCTCACTAGATATTTTGTTTCAGAGCTAGTTTCAAAGACTATTTTCCAATACCCAATGGACTGTTGTTGCATCGTACTACTAGTTCTTTCAGATAAGTCATGAGTTGTTGCATCGATATTGGTACGCGCCAGTTCCAGTGCCAGTTGATCCACGTAAAGCACTATTGCATTAGTTTCGGTGAGGGCGAGTTCGTCATCTTGGACTCCAACTCCAACATTTGGGTATGATAAGGACGAACGGAGAATAACAAGACCATAGCTAAAACCTATTCCAACAATTGCCAATGCCAACGTAATCTTCATGAGTAGTACTATTAAACATCCCATGAAAAAATAAAATAGATCAACTTCAAATCCACACTCACTTTGTCTTGAGAGACTGAGTGACATGATAGCAAAGGCAGCACACGAGACCAAACTATATGCATCTGGTTTCCCATTCACAAGTTTATCAGCGAAATAGGAATACACAGATGTGACAGTCAAAACCACGAATGAGGAATGAGCTTTGAACCGGAGAGTGGTTGAGTGCCGACATGCCTTAGCAAACATATTGCCGAGACAGATTAAAAGACTAACAATACTGTAAAGGAAGATTTTCAACAAGCTCCACTCTCCGAATAGATAGTCGAAGGAGGAGCTGAGAGCATAACAAAGAAGCCCAACAATGGTTGAAACAAAACCAACAAATCTCCATACTGCTTCCTGCGTCAGCCATCTCCTGAGTTGGATGCTCAAAAACGTCATATTCCTCGGAAGTGAGCAACAACTGCTTTCACAGACTCAGAGAACTAACTGCTTATATAGATATCATTAGAGAGCAAGTATTTTTTGCGCAGGATGAGAAGCCCAGTCGTTTCTTCTGGTGAAATTTCAAGGAAAGGACCAAGATCCTTGTCTGCTATAATAAGTCATACTACTTGTTTGACACGGATGAACGATGACATTATAATTTTCGAGGAAAATGGATCCGCATTGGATGGGTGCATCCTCACATTGACTGAAGAAGAATAAGGCCCCACAATTCATTTCTTTTCATTCGGTGCAATCATTATATATTGTTCTTCCATTAACATTAACATTTAATAAGCAAAAAGGTGAGTGTTTTGGAGTGTTTCTCTTTTGTTCTTTTGTCGCGGTTTTGGATTTTTATTCTTTCCTCACCCTCTGCACACTCATGCTCCACATTTTCTCAAATCATAGGGCCCTACTCTCACTCACAAATACATATTTTATAATGCAATTCTCAATCATTTCATATTTACCTCATCATAACCAATATCATCTCTGCCCCTTTTTAATTTCTTGTTCCGGAGCAGGCTTCCCAACATGTTCCTATTCGCTCTCTCTTTTCCTTTCTTTTTTTTTTTTGAAATATTTCTCCTAGTATTCCCTCTTCTGTGATATCATAATGCTTGTGCAAATTTAAGGGACCAGTGCTTTGCCCCTACGTCATTGGATGAAAGCTCGGGGCTCGAGAGATACCAAAACATAAAGCTACACAATAAAATTTCCAATCCTTTAAGTGAGGGATGAAAAGTAAAAGCTGATCTAGAAGATAAAGCAAGAACTAAATGTGAAATATGATCATGGGTGAAGAGTTTTAGTATATGAAGCTAAATGAGCGAGTGGTTACATACCAACAAGGCAACAACAACCAAAAGAAGTGTCAATTGGCACGCCTGTGATGCATTGCATGTAATGAAGCTATTTCTGTTCTTTACCCTCGCTTTCTTCTTTTTTACATGCCCATCAATAAGCATATTTTCCTTTGTGATAACTGATAAGAGTTTATTCTAACAGAAATTGCTTATAATACAAGCAAGGGAAACCCATACATCCTAACTAGACTAACAAAATCTCTACAGCTAACCACCGGAATCTATGACAATTTTGGCTTTTATGTTGCAGACGCTGGGGGATGGCAATTGAATATCCGAATATTAATTCTAAGAGGCCAGACAAATCATGTATACATACACGCTCAAAATTACAATATCAGAACCACAAGACGTGAGGTATCAGGTATAAGTCGCCTACGAAAGTAAGTAGAAACAACGGGGAACATTCAAATATTTATACATTTATATCAACTCCAATGAAACTATACGAGTTTACAGTTATTCAACATAACTCGAGTGTAACAAGGACATCACATTGTCTAAGAATTTCACTTTCGAGATATATATTTACAAAGCCATTTAACAGAATATCTAACCTCTTTTTCTGAGGTCTAAATGTATATCAAGTACCATAGTTCAACTAACGGTTCAAGTTGGCAATGGACAACTGAGAGGGCAATGAATATCGGAAGTGAAAAAAAAATATAGCCAATACTCCGATAAACCAAATGCAGAAACAGAATCACTATTCTATTTTTTGCAGTAAGCACTTGATAGGACCGATCGATGTCCTCTAACACGGTATTCTTGTATCGATCCTCTATGACATACTTGGTTATTTCATCCACAAGCTTCTTATATTGATGAGCAGCATTGTGTGAGTTGAAGACCACAGCAGTTTGAATGAAATCAGTTGAATCGTTTAAGGTTATTTTCCAAAGCATTTTTTCTATCTAATTTGTTTTCTCTGAATCCAAACACGGTTCATAATTGTACTAAACTAAGCATAATTGCTAACGATTTGCACCAAAATCGAAGTTCGAGGCGTTTATTAACTATAAATCAGCCTAACTTAACATAAGCTCTGCTTCTAATCAGATCTAAGAATTTTCTTGAATAAGCAGTGATGGTGAATAGCACGCAGAAATTACTTGTAGCTTAATTAGATATGTGATCAATGTGATTCTCTAAACCACGATGCATATTCAAATTTTGCGTAGATCATATATTTTTATCAGAATAAAACGAAACGAGCCGAATAAAACAAAGAAAATGTACAGACACATCGTATCAAATTTGAGCTTGAAAATCGGAATAATCAATTCAATTCAAACTTACATTATCGTCTTCACTGCGATTAGCATACGATATCTCGGAGATCGGAGAGGAATCCTCATAAGCTTCTGAAACGAATGTCAATGCTGCGTTCAAGCTCTTACTTGTAATCTGGCCAAAGATGAAAATAAAAATAAACATGAAAAAAATGAATATGAAGGAAGCAAAGCGTAAAATGTGAGTAAGGTTTTGCGAATTGTGTTGTACCTTATTGAAGTTTGGCGAATACTTCAATCTGCGATTGCGCTTCACCGATGAACGAACATAGGTTTTCTGAGGCGTTTGAGATTCTTTCATTGGCGGGAGTTGAAGTTAATTTTGCCAGGTTCAATTTAATATGCGGAAATGGGAATTAAAGAGGTACAAACTTATATATAGACGGAAAATTTCAATATAATTGATCAAAGCACAGTGTTTACGCCATTTTTTGAACTATGCTTAGATATGGATGCGCAGAAAGAAATTTCAAATTATTGTCGTGCATTATTGAGCCATTAACAATTGAGCTCTCCCATAGCATTAATTGTAAGGTTAGTTTTTGACATTTTTAAAAAGTAAAAAAAAAATGAATAGAGAAAGAATGAATAATTTGGGAAATTGTTATAGTTAGAAAATTATTTAAAAAAATTGTACATGAAATTGAGTAATTTTATTATTATTAATTAATGTAAAAAAAATATTTTGTGTTGGTATAGATTTTGAAAAAAATAAGTGAGTAGTTAATAATAAGAGGTGTGAGCAATTTTTTGGTAGTTGTTTTAAATATATCTTTTGAAAAATATTGAAAAAAAAGGGTAATTTAAGATAAGGTTATGGAGATAATATGCCTAAGTAACGTGTATACATAATAGGATAATATTCTTTGTTTATAGTATAATTTGGTTTATTGATCAATTTGGGGTACTTTCACAAACTATTTACGTAAATGAGGCTGTTTTGAAACTATATACACCTTTGGGACATTTTACTATGGTGTCGCTATATAGCGACACCATTGACACGTGAATTTTTTTTTTTTGTAACTACGATTGGCTAAAATTTAGCCAAACAGAGTCGCTATAGGCTGGAGTGATTTTTCTAAAGTCGCTATAGGATACATCACCACTAGAGCTGTCAAAATGGGTTTGGCCCGGTGAGCCAACCCGGCTCACCACGGGTTCGAGCCGGGTTGGGTTAAAAAAAATTAAAAAATTTTAATACGGGTCAAATTTGAACCCGGCTCACTAACAACCCGGCTCACCCGGGTTGAACCCGTGGTGAGCCGGGTTGGCCTACCAACCCTTGATTAAATTCTTAAAAAAATAATAATAATAATTATTGGGTCATGGTGCAGTCCAACATGAGAC